CCCAGGCTGGAGTTCAGTGGTACGATCTCGGCTCACTGCAATCTCTGCTTCCGCCTCCCTGGTTCAAGCGATACTTCTGCCTCAGCCTCCTGAGTAGCTGGGATTATAGGCGCTCTTCACAACCAGCTAATTTTCGTCTTTTCTTTTTAGTAGAGATGGGGTTTCGCCATGTTGGCTAGGCTGGTCTCGAACTCCTGACCTCAAATGATCTGCCCGCCTCAGCCTCCCAAAGTCTGGGAATTACAGGCGTAAGCCACCGCACCTGGCCAAGGTGCTGTCCTTTATAATATGGTTGGGGTCATTAAATTAATTAATTGAGTAATAATGCAGAAAGCCCATTCTCATCATCTTAAATGCAGCACTATCCACCCATATTTGCAAAATAAGTGGATATCACAGTGATTTCCATGTTTCTTGAGTGGCTGCAGGTAGTTCTAGGAGAAGAAGAAAAACAAGAATTTGGATTTTTTTTTTCCTTCCATGCTGTGAATAACAATCAGCACAGAAAAAAATTCCTTTGGGATTCTTGGGGAACACTCTTCATGAGGACAGGATCCTCAGGTTCTTGGAATATAATTTTATCATTTACTTTTTGTTGAAAGAAAGACCGAACTTGACTGCCCTGCATTCCTGAACATTAATAATATACTTGAAGGCACATTGCAGAGTTGGATCTGGTAACAGCTCTATTAGATGGAACTAACAGCGCTGAAGTCAGGGTATCTTCACAAGCAAGTTCACTTTCTGTCTTCACTGATAGTAGACGTTCAAGTTGCAAATAGTTGGGATTGAGCAGCATTTCAGCTGCCTTCCTCTGACAGGCATTATCAACTCTCTGGTGCCCCTATATACCCAAAGGTCTAAGTGAGTCAATAATATTCAAAGCACTTCTACTCCGGTGAAAACACAACCATTCTGTGTGACTCCAACTCCAAACGACTTCATTCTAATGTTAGTGTTTTCATTATCAGCCCAAACAACATGCTGATGGTTATCGTTGGGCTAAAATGCTTCCTTCCCTGGGAAAACTTTATCAGACAAGTTAATAAGGTGATTAAGTATGAAGCAGATTGCTGCTCAAGGAGAACCTACCCAGGAGAGCCACTCCTACCCTCCAAAAAGAAATGGGATGTTCATATGTTAGGGTATCACCAGATTAATTAAATTCCAAAACCTTAAATAATTTCCGGTGGTGTAGATGCTGTGCACTGTGCCCCCCGATCTCTTTTTCAAGACTGAAGGATTTATTCCTCCAGATGTTTTGGGGAAGAATGCCAGCGGACAGTCTTCAGAGCTCCCCCAGCAAAGTCATACCCCTTCCTGGGGCAGTCAGCGTCCCATGATTGGTCCATGTGGAGTTGAAAGCTCTAGAAGTCTCTTCCTGACTCAGAACAACTCTGAAAGGTTGAGCCAGCTTCAGGGCTCCCTGAAGATTGACTTCAAGCCTGGATTTAGACAGTCTCAGGCACTACTTCTTTTCCTACCCAGTCCTGGCTTCTTCCCTCCCACAGGTTTTGATCCTGGGAACACTCTCTAATATACTATTTGCATACTAATCTCCATGCTGGAGTTTATTTCCCTGGGAACCCAACCTAAATATCTGGCTTCTCCTTTTCCTTGGGTTATACATACCTATACTTAGCTTTCTTGACATTGGAATTAGCCAGTGGAGAATGTGTTGATCATCTATATGTGTTTTTTTCTTATGTAATTTCTGAGGGCATAGATCTTGCCTACTTTGTTGTCTGTACCCTGTGTAACATCTAGTGCCGTTAGAATTTAATACTTGTTAACTGAATGGAAAAAGTTCCAAGGTAGGGTGCGGTGATGGGAGTAGAGAAAGCACATGTTTTTCCCATTAAGTGGTAAATGTCTAATTTTGGGTTAACTGGTAACTTCAGAGAACTGTGAGTGAGTTACGTTCACGGAGGCCTAGAATTTTGCATGGGCAAAATGCACAAAATCCACATTAAGCAAAGCAAAATACATGCATTTTGTTTTCCTTTGGGTATGTTTGGGCTTTGGGAAGCAGATTTCTTGCAAATCAGTAAAGTGAAAGAGTTTGTTAATTTTGAGGTTCCTTATTTGAAGACATTTTTGAAAAATATTTTACTATTATCTGTTTTTCACTTCCTGTGTAGATTTTTATTTGTTTGCCTTTTTGGTTCCTGTTTAACCAACCCAAAGTTAGAAGTGGCTGAGAAAACTCTTGCTAGCAAGTAATGTTATTGCCAAATAAATAGACTTAGGGATAATGTCAGCCCTAGTTAATTGGGGTCACCCTGCCTCTTGAGATCTAGAGGAGATAGGCTCAACCCCCCATACCAAGACTTGTGGAAGTCCAACTCATTCTTCAACAATTCTATGCATTGCCAGAGGGCTTACATTTCCATGATCAGTTCTGGCTTCAAGCTCCTATTTTGCTGAATTTGTTGAGTTTAGAAATAATCTTTTCATTGCCTCTTGTGTTCCTTATTCTCTATCACCTCAATACAATGTTGATCCTGGCCAGCCAGTCAGCCTGCCTTCCTCTCCTCCTCGTCCCTCTTCTTCTCCCCCATCCTCTCTCCTCTCTTCTCTCTCTCCCTCTCTCTCTCTCTCTTTCACACACACACACACACACACACACTCACACAGGCATTTTTATATGTAGTCAGCTTTGCTGGAGTTTGGGAAAGGTGAAAGTAGTTTGCATAAAATGTAAAAAACATGAATATAATATTCATCATCCTTGTCCTTGTTCTTAAAAAACGAATCTTTCATTCCTTTTCTGCCACAGTTCGGGCTCCAGCCTCCCTCTCTTCCTTTTCCCCTCCTTTCTATGCCCACTCTCTTTTAAGAGAAGAAAAAATTCCTGTCATTCTCTTACAGGGGACAACTTAGCCCTCGCAGAAACTTACTAGGTCATTTTGACTGCAAGTGACAGAAAACAAAGTTCAAGCTGCTTGTGCTTGACACAAGAGAATCTACGGAGTCTTGTAACTTCAAGTCCAAGGGTGGATCTTGTTTCAGGCGTGGGTACATAAGGGAGCTCGGCTGGGCGTGTCAGCAGATCTGATTTCTGTCTCAGAGTGTTGGCTCCACCCTTCCTGATTCTGGCTCGCTGTCTCAGCGAACCTCTTCTTGCTTTACATTGGGCCTACCCCTAGGCCTATCAGTGTGGGCTGGGAATGCAGCACGCTCATTGGCTTAGGCCTCGTTCCCGTCATCCAACCCTGGCACCAGGAAGATGGGATTAGTGTGACTCAAACACGTGGAAAGGAGTGTTTGCTCCTAGGAAAACCAGCTAAAGTACTACAGAAAGAGGAAATGCTGCAGAGACAGGCGGAAACAGTGCTGGCCAGCTCACGCCTGACCCACCCTCTTTGTAAGCATAGGGTCTGCCTCTGAAGAGCTAAGGACTTCCTGAAATTTAAACATTAGTGCTTTTATTTGCTTGTCCTGGTAAGACCGTAGGCAAAGACCATCCTCATACCCACTGACAGTTTAGAGTGGGAAAGTTAATTTTTGTAGATATTCTAAAATGCCCTGCAGGTACCAGAAATGTTCTATATCTTGACGGTAGGGGTTACACGGGGTATACATATGTTAAAATTCATCAAGCTGTACAGTTAAGGTTTGTGTGCTTTACTGCGTATGTAGTTTAGTGTATAAGCTGTACCTCAGTTAATTTTATTTTGTAATTTCCTGCAAGATTAGCATTAAAAGTGCCTGTGATTTCGAGTGCAATACTCAAGCCCATGGTCTTTGGTTTGCCTTTATAGTAAGCCTTATTCGGCCAGAAGCCAAGAAATAGCCCAGCTGAGGTCACCAGGATAGAAAACCCATGTGGGTTTGGGGTTAAGTTCTATTTTGTATTAATATGGGTATATTTGCCTGAAGTGTTTTCTGGAACATACATTTAATGTGTCTCCCTCAGAAATTGAGTATATCGACACAGGAAACATTTAGAGACTGGGGATAGCCTGAGAGTCAATGTCTATAATTAAGGCTTCTAAACATTCCCCTAAATTATTCAGGTGAACATTACAGTAGTCCTTTCTTATCTGGGGGGATACCTTCCAAGCCCCCCATTAGATACCTGAAATCAGATTTTACCAAACCCTGTACATACTATGTTTTTCCTATACATACATAACAATTATAAAGTTTAATATATAAATTAGGCACAGTAAGAGATTAACAACAATAACTCATAGTAAAATTTAAACATTGCAACAATATACTGTAATAAAAGTTATGTAAGGCTGGCACGGTGGCTTATGGCTGTGAATCCCAACACTTTGGGAGGCAGAGGCGGGAGGATCCCTTGAGCCCAGGAGCCTGGGCAATTTGGCAAAACTCCATCTCTACAAAAAATAAAACACTTAGCCAGTCATGGTGGCGCATGCCTGTGGTCCTAGTTACTCAGGGGCTGAGGCAGAAGGATTGCTTAAACCCAGGGGGTTGAGACTGCAGTGAACCATGTTTGTGCCACTGCACTCCACCGCGGGCAACAGAGCAAGACCCTGTCTCAAAAAAAAAAAAAAAAAATTATACAAATGTCTCTTTCTTTCAGAATATCTTATTGTACTGTACTCATCTGTTTTCGGACCACAGTTGGCCTCAGTTAATGTGAAACTATTGTATTCAAGGCAGAAAGATAGTTTGCCTTCTACCATAAAATGGTGCTATTCAAAGTCATCATTCCTCAGTGAAACATCACATTTGACAGTCCTTTAGAGCAGATTATAATGGATTTAGAATTGGAAGATCCACATTCAAGTCCTGGCCTTGTCCTTTACTGGCTGTGTGGCTTTGGGCAAGTCACTTAATTGTGCCTGAGCTTCAGTTCCACATCTATAAAATGATGATGTGGGAGGTTCCTGTCTTTCAGGGCTGCTCTGCAATATGGAGATGACACATGTAAAGATCTTTTGTGAAATGGTAAAGTCTCATTATTATCCTGATCCCCCCTGCCCATTGCCTTTGAGAGCATTAATCACATATTTTTTTTTTTATCTTTTAATTGTCATTTTATAGCTCCCCACCGCAGGTGCCCCCCACCCTTCCCTTTGGTGACAACACAATGTCTGCAGGCTTCAGGGGGACCAGGGAACAAAGCTGGGGCCTGGCAGCCCCACTACGCTGCCAGTCAGGGAGAACAAGTCACAATTACAAATTATCACAACAATTTGTGCCTGTACTTGGGGGATCTGCAAATTGAGGAGGCCCCAGCTCCACGTTGTACAGGGGTCTATTTGGCAGTGACCTTGCTCTGGAGACGATGATATTCCTTCAGCCTGAGGGAATTGATGTTGATGAACCCGGTGGCATCAATCGGCTCATAATCACCCTGCACGTTCATGCTCACCAGCTCCTCGTTGTAGAGAGGCAGTGCGGACTCCCGGCTGAGGATGTACACCTGGCCCTTGAGGACGGACACCTGCACTTTCCCTTCCACTCGCTCCTGGGACTTGGCTATGCAGTGGCGGACAAATTCACACTCAGGGCTGTGCCAGAAACCGGTATACACCAGCTCAGCAAATTTCAAGCCCAGGCCTTGTTTGATTTTGC